CTAGTATCCATAGTATCCTAGTATCCTAGTATCCTAGTATCCTAGTATCCATAGTATCCTATTATCCTAGTATCCTAGTATCCTAGTGTAGTAAGATAATAGTATCTTTGTACAATATCTGTTTGTTATTTGTTAACATAATTAGCTCTTTCTGAATTGTCATTCAAAAAAATTAAGATAATAGTTATTTTCTGTGCATTCTTTTATTCCCTGTTTTCTCTGAAACTATAAGAAGAAAGCTGGGACAAATATGAACCTTGTCTCCAGGTACTCTACAGATCAGGACTAGAAATAGAACCTGTTGATAAACAGAATATTAGTAATCAATGGGTGATGAAGGTTAAAGTGACCTTTAGCAAACACGTCTAAAGTTGAAAAAGAAAATATTGTTCTACAATCTTCATTCATCTTTTACCTTCTCTATCTGGCTTTTTAATACTCTTATTTTACACCTCCCTGTGTTATTCTTGCTTTCTAATATCCCCCCCTCCCCTTCCTCCCCTTCATCCCCTCCATGAAATTCTTTGCTGCACATTGAGGAACAGGTGGTATGCATGCAATTCTGATTCTTCTCTCTCCCTTCCTTCATTCTTCTCCCTCATCTCCTTCATTCTTCTCCCTCACCTCCTTCATTCTTCTCCCTCCCTTCCTTCATTCTTCTCCCTCCCATTCTACATTCTTCTCCCTCATCTCCTTCATTCTTCCTCCTCCCCTTCTGCATTCTTCTCCCTCATCTTCTTCATTCTTCCTCCTCCCCTTCTGCATTCTTCTCCCTTCCCTCCTTTATTCTTCTCCCTTCCCTACTTCATTCTTCTCACTCCCATTCAACATTCTTCTCCCTCCCCTCCTTTATTCTTCTCCCTTCCCTACTTCATTCTTCTCCCTTAGATATTTTTTCTCCCTATTCTTGATCTTTTTCTCCCTATTCTTGATCTTTTTCTCCCTATTCTTGATCTTTTTCTCCCTATTCTTGATCTTTTTCTCTCTATTCTTGATCTTTTTCTCCCTATTCTTGATCTTTTTCTTCTTGATATTCAGTCATCATTTCTAATCTCTACTCTTCTGACCTTTTTTTCTCCCTTAACTTATATTTTTTTTACCTTTTTCTCCCCCGTCTTAATATTTTTTCTTACAGTACAACTCGGAATCATCTATTTTTCTTCTCTTGATATTTTTTCCTTCTACTGTTTTTTTTCCTCCCAACTCTTGATATTTTTTCTCTCAACTCTTGATTTTTTTCTCTCAACTCTTGATCTTTTTTCTCTCAACTCTTAATAATTTTTCTCCAAACTCTTGATCTTTTCCTTCCGACTGTCTTGAGATTAATAATGAGATCTCTGTTAAACTATTTGAATTATCTGTATAAGAACCTGAGTGCGATGCAAGTTATTTGAAGGTTGGTTAAACATGCGAAATAAAATCAATTGCTTCAAATTTTCGATAAAAAAGGGGAAAAATCGGAGAGTATAAAAAAGGTTTGAAATACAGCTTGTAGTATAAATTACAATAAATATAGATTATTTCTTAAAATTACGGTGATTTTAAGGTTACTAAAATAAAACAAAAACACAGATTAGGTTTTTAGATCAAAAAACTGTTTTTGAAATAAAAAAAATGTGCTTCAGGATTCGTTTAGTCTTTTTGGAGAAACTCTGCAACGAGAACTAGACCTAAACTTAGATATCATCATTTGTTAGAATTCTATTTTGTTTTTTCGTTCTATTATTTGGTAATTTAAGATGTTTGTTGTTTATCCCAATCCATACTTTCTGTATCATCCCCTGCTCCCCCAGCTCTCCCTAGCTCCACCAGCTAATACAGCTGCTGGGAAAGAAAGGTCTGGATGGATCCGGTCAACTCCTGTACCTGGGCCCGGCATTGTGTGACCTAGGCGGGCTGACCCGGGCAGCTGTAACCTTGTCTTGCCCAGGAGCATTGTTATATCCTTCTCTAGTTGTTAGTACCCCAGACACCATTCCAGGAGGTAACATTATTACTTACTAGATACGGAGCAGAAAATAATATTGGTTTGTATAAATCTACATAATCAATTATGATTTTCAAAGTGTGTATTTACTGATAAGACTGGTCCTGATCCCATATATCGTACTTGATTCGCTCTTTTATACTCTTAAATACAATCCATCCAGCTTCTGATACAATTCTTCCTATTTATGCTGTTTAAGATACACTTTGTTCCTATTTGTCCTGTTCTGTGTTGAATTAGTCCTGTTTTCATTTCAATTCCTCCTATTCTTCATACATTTCTTACTGTTCTTGTTTCAATTCTTCCTGTTCTTGTTTCTCTTCTTGTTCTTTTCCAATTTCTTCCTATTCTTGATATAATTTGCCCTGCTGTTTACAATCCCGCTCCGTCCTGTTTCTCGTTCAACCCGTCCTCGCTAAACCAACAGATTCTGTCGTCTGCTTTATCCAATTCAAATATCCTTTAATATCAATGGGTTAGCAAAACACATAACACCAGTCTACAACGCCTGAAACCACTCAAAACCTTTTAATTTAAGTGATTAAGTGCTTAATCCGTTAAAAACAGCTGACTTCCATTTTCGCGATCCCTTATTGACTGAAAGTCTGACTTTTCTGACTTCTGACTGATCGAACCTTTACTCCGTCGGATTACAAAGATACGGAATAGTGACGGAATTGTCAATAACAAGTTCTCACCTCAGATTTGTATATTTTGGGCCTTTTCTTTTCTAGAACTTTCTGTCCTGTTATACCCCTGTCTGAATGAACAATTATTATAAAGCTTTGATGATGTTTTCTGGAGCTTAACTTTGTTTGAAATGGAATTTCCACTCGTATACATCCTTCCGTTCATACTTTCCTTGATATATTCCGGCAACTTGAAATCTATTCAATATTGACCTCCCTCATTTTTCACTTTTCCCTCCATATTCTCATTTTATGGTTGAATAAATTTCTCTGCATAATGTTATACCAAAAAGAACTCTTTACTCATACTAAACCTCGTATCATCATACATCATAAAGTTCTCATCCTTATAAAAAATCAAGGATTTTTTTTTATTTTATATTAACTTAAATATCCCTGTTATATTTTCCCCTAATTCATTCCTTCTCATACTAAGATTCAATTTTATATTTCCTCAATTTTAATTCACCATTCTTCATTTCTTTCTTTATTTGAATTTCAACTTTCTTCTCATTCAGAAACTATTTTTCTCATATTTTTCCTTTACCCCTAACTACATACTTCTAAATTCCATTTGATCCCTACCTTTTGATAAAAAAAGTCAGAAAATCTATTTTAAAAACTAAACATTTTCGTTTATTAATTCTTATATATTGTTTTTATATTAAAATGAGTGTAAAATAAGTAGAAGTACAGCTAATGGCGCGGGCTGACCTGTCAAGGTTGACCGGCTCGGCTAGAACAGTAGAAAGTCTAATTCTACCTGGATATTGTTCCAAATATTTCAACTGTTACATCAAAGAATTCCGCTTCTTTCCTGACAAAAAATGCTCCAAAATTAACAAATAACTTTAAATCATGAAAATTAAAATATTTTGAAAAATGTTATTTTTGATTATTCTTTTTAAGAATTTTTATTATTACAGGTGCTCCCAGTTCGAACCACTAGTTAAAAGAAGAAGCTAATCATGGCCAAGAAGAAGGGATTTATGACCCCCGAGCGTAAGAAGAAGCTCCGTACCCTACTTCGTAAGAAAGCAGCTGAGGAGCTGAAGAAGGAGCAGGAGAGGAAGGCCGAAGAGCGTCTTCGCGTCATTGCCGAGCGCTGCGGCTCCAAGGCTCAGTTTGAGGAATCCTCTATGGACGATCTCAAGAAGATCTGCCAACAGTACTTTGACAAGTGGTACGGGCTCGAGGGGGAGATGTTCTTCCTTCAGCGCGAAGTGATTCTTCGTGATCTTCAGATCAACGAGCTCACCATCTCCGTCTCTGACATGAAGGGAAAGTTCATCAAACCCACCTTGAAGAAGGTCAGCAAGTACGAGAACAAGTTTGCAAAGCTCCAGGAGAAGGCCGCCAAATTTGCCTTCGCTAATCAGCTCAAGCAGTCCAAGGGCTAAACCTAAACCCTTTTCTCTGCAATGATTTTATTGTCAGGAGGGGGCGGTATCCCCCCCCCCTCATTGCCAGGGGTTCTGGACACGTGATCTTTCTCCAGGATATCCCCTTGGTAGCCTGACTATCCCCTAACCAGGAGGCCGGTAGAACCGGAGAAACCCCGGTTTTATCGTTTCTTCTCTTTACTTGTATTTTGGCCAGTACGCTATGTTTGTACATATGTATTATATAAAGTATGTAAACCTCTATTTCTGTATTGTTACTTTTTAACCCTGATAATTTGACCTTTATGCTCAATCTAATTTTTCAGGATTTGATGGTGTCTATAAAGATAATAAAATAAAGGTGTGTTTATGTTGGGAACAGTTTTGTTCTTGTTTTGGTTTCACTATTATACAATTATATACAGCCTCCTTCTTTAATAAATCTTAATGTTAAGGGAAAATTTGGTTTTTGTGCTAAATTTGAATACGTTTATAAATAAAATAATATTTTTACTAAATTGATTGATAATTTTCTAGATTAGGTGAAGGAACATTTATTTAGTGCATTTTCATTGAGAATTATGACGCAAAAGTAACATTTCCTCTCAGAGTATATTTTTTTCGGTTCGCCTAATGTTCTATGCACCATATTTGATACCTAATGTAGAACTGTATCCGGGTCCTACTAGAACTACCAGGTTGAGAAGAGGAAACCTGGAATTCATGAATCCCTAATTATTTACACATTTAGCACAAACCTAGATTTGGATTCCTCTCTAGGATCCCATTAATCCAACCCTGTAATCTTGTTATACTGTGGTATTGTTAAAGTATAGGATAGATCCAACTCAATGGATTGAGGGAGAAGGAGGGGTAAGGAGGGAGAAGGAGGGAGACGAAGGGGTTAGGAGGGAGAAGGAGGGAGAAGGAGGGAGAAGGAGGAAGAAGGAGGGAGAAGAAGGGAGAAGGAGGGAGAAGGAGGGAGACGGAGGGAGAAGGAGGGAGGAGAAAGGGTAAGGAGAGAGAAGGAGGGAGAAGGAAGCNACTTTCTCTAGAGAAGGAGGGAGAAGGAGGGAAAAGGAGGAAGAAGGAGGGAGAAACAGGATGAAGGAGGAGGGGGGAGGAGGAAGAGAGAGAGGGAGAAGAAGGGTGAGAAGGAAGAGGAAGAATACGAATATAGTACAGTTATGAAGTAGAGTAGTTTGATAGGAAAGGGGAAAACGAAATTATGTGGTGGAGCAGAATAAGGTAAGGAGGGGGAATGGGTAGATGATTGAGGATGAAGGTAGGAAGGAGTGGATGAGTATTAAGGAAGGGGGAAGGGGTGGATGAGAATAAAGCCAAACTGTTCAACGTGGGAGAATATTATAAATGAAATCGTTAAATGGTTTAAGAGACCAATATCAGACCAAACAGAGAGATTATACAGGGAGAAACAACAAACATCAGACTAAGATAATATTCAAAAGTCGTATTTTTATTATTATTATTTTTCCAGAATTATTATGAAAATGCGCGCGTTATAATAATTGGAAAAATATTACAACATACATACTTTATATAGTTTTTAACTTAAATTAATAAGATATTGAACTGTTTTTTATACAGAGTTATCCACAAAGGATGAGACTGTAAATACGACATTAAACTCGTAAACCTGATAATATCAAGGTTAAATTAAGTTCTCTGTCTTAAATATGATCTTTTTATGATTTCTTCAATTTAATTAGATTAATTTAATTAGATTAATTTAATTATTTAGAACTTTGTAATTATGGAATGTAAACGATGAAGATTTAATTTGTAAAACTGTAGATACAAATAATATGAAATTATACTGTGATATTGTATGCAATATTCATTATTAATATATTATATGATATCTAATGGTTTGACTTCCCTTTACTTTAGTTTAAACTATGTAACTGTACATAAAACATAAATGTAATGTAGCTGTACATAATATAGAATTGTACTGTATAACTGTGTAATTGTAATCTTAATTCCGGATAGTATTGATAATATGAGTGTGTGAGTAGTCTAATAACAGGTGTACGCTCTACCATGATAAATAGTTTGGAACCAGGACTTATATTATTATTTTACAATTAACCTGGAGATTCAGGATACAATGAACCTTATCCGTCCTACACTTAGAGTACACACTTACTCTAGGTACACACCTACCCTCAGAGTATATACTTTCTCTAGGTACACACCTACCCTCAGAGTACACACTTACTCTAGGTATACACCTACCCTCAGAGTATATACTTACTCTAGGTACGTACCTACCCTCAAAGTATATACTTACTCTAGGTATACACCTACCCTAAGAGTATATGATTACTCTAGGTACACACCTACCCTCAGAGTATATCTTTACTCTAGGTATACACCTACCCTAAGAGTATATGATTACTCTAGGTACACACCTACCCTCAGAGTATATACTTACTCTGGGTACACAACTACTCTCAGAGTATCAATATACTCTAGGAACACACCTACCCTCAGAGTATGTATTTACTCTAGGTACACACCTTCCCTCAGAGTATATACTTACTCTAGGTACACACCTACCCTCAGAGTATACTTACTTTAGGTACATCGTACACACCTACACTCAGAGTATGTATTTACTCTAGGTTCATACCTACCACCAGAGTATATACTTACTCTAGGTACAGACCTACCCTCAGAGTACATTCTTACTCTAGGTACACACCTACCCTCAGAGTATATGATTACTCTACGCACACAGTTACCCTCAGAGTATGTTTTTACTCTAGGTACACACCTATCCTCAGAGTATGTATTTACTCTAGGTGTACACCTACCCCCAGAGTATATACTTACTCTAGGTACACACCTACCCTCACAGTATAGACTTACTCTCGGTACACAACTACTCTCAGAGTATACTTACTCTAGGTACACCGTACACATCTACCCTCAGAGTATGTATTTACTCTAGGTACATACCTACCCTCACAGTATATACTTACTCCAGGTATACACCTACCCTCAGAGTATATTTTTACTCTAGGTATACACCTACACTCAGATTATATACTTACTCTAGATACCTCACCTACAATCAGAGTATATACTTACTGTAGGTATACACCTACACTCAGAATATATACTTACTCTAGGTACCACACCTACAATCAGAGTATATACTTTCTCTAGGTACCACACTTACAATCAGAGTATATACTTACTCTAGGTACCACACCAACACTCAGAGTATGTCTTTACTCATAGGGTATACAATTAGACGTTTTGTGGATATGATTGAATAGCTAGGTTTCAATGAGAATATATGTTTTATTATATTGTAATAAAGTAAAACCATCATGAAAATCTACAAAAATGCTCTTCAATCCAAAGTTTTTAACACATTATTAGGACAGAGTATAATGATCATTAATATCTTATTTATTAAAATATTTTTGCTTTACTATGTATATTTCCAGTACTAATTTTATGACTGATCTACAATTTTACCGTCACAAAAAAGTGGTGTAAAGGTACATCCCCCCCCCCCACCCCTAACCAAACTCAAAGTTCCTCTCTTCAATATCAATCCTGATTTCCTTTAAAATGTAAGACTGCTGAAATAAAAAGCCGTGGACTAGAAAATTCCTGGAAATCCTTGTTCTTGTAAACTCCATTAATCAGTTTTGATGAAATTGTTCCAATGTTCCCAGAGAAGAGTTGGAATGAAAGAGCTCATGCAGAGATAATATCTTCCAGGGACAGTTTGTAAAACGTCTAAAAATCCAACCTGACATAAAGACAATACCCTGAGATAGTTTGTAGAGACATTATTAAATGTGTTGGGAAGTTTAGGTTTGTCTTGGTCAATCTAGTCAGTTTAATCCAGGTTTACACAGCATTCAACCATTTTCTCTTGTTTATGAAAAAAACAGAGTCTAAATCGGTCCTGACGTTAAGCAGTTATTTTGCAAAAACATAACTTAGGATAATGTTCTCAACTTTATATTCCAGAATATAGTTCTCTATTATAGGCATAAGGTTCTCTACTCCAGGATTGAGAATAAGGTTCTCTACTCCAGGATTGAATATAAGGTTCTCTACTCTAGGATTGAATATAAGGTTCTCTACTCTAGGGTTATTGGATAAGGTTCTCTACTCCAGGGTTAAGGATACGGTTCTCTACTCCAGGGTTGAGGATAAGGTTCTCTACTCTAGGGTTATGGGATAAGGCTCTCTACTCCAGGGTTCAGAATAAGGTACTCTGCTCCAGGGTTAAGGATATATATATATATAAAGATTTAGTCACACACAAAGATATACATACATATATAAATGGTGTATGGTTCCCTACTCCAGGGTTGAGAATAAAGTTCTCTACTCCAGGGTTGAGAATAAGGTTCTATACTCCAGGGTTGAGGTTAAGGTTTTCTCCAGGTTGAAGATATGGTTCTCTACTCCAGGATTGAGGATAAAGTTTTCTCCAGGTTGAATGAAAGATAAGATATCCCTGAGGCTGGTTCTCACCATCCAACAAACAAACAATAACCTGGTCAATTCACAAATTAATTGTCACCTTATCACCAGTTGTAAACTTTCCCAGCAGCTCAGGGTTTACATCAGAGTAGGGGGGGGGGGGCATTTTTTTGTTGGATCTTTGAATGTTTTTTCTTAAGATTTTAAAACATCAACACTTTTTAAAATAACTTCCCTACTGTCCTTTTTTTAAATGGTCTCGGAAGGAAACCCTTCAAAAATGAATAATAGTTTCATAATGATTTTTACAATTAAGAAGATTAAAACAGTTTTAAATATTTTAGGGAAAATAATGATTATTTAGATAAAAACTGGTAATCGTTGACTAAGTATTTTAACCTTGGGTTTAGATGAGATACACATGTTAACAAATACTTTCTAAAAAGTTCTTAAAATACAAAGAAACGAAGCTTTTTGACGTTGAAACTTTAAGAAAAGAAATGAAAATAAGTATTTGGCTCAAACTGAAAATGATGGTTCAGGCATAAATTAAATTGAATGGTAAAAAGTTTAAAATTTTTCAAAGGCAGTGAACTCTTTCCTTAAATGCTAAGTTTATTATCCTTCTTATTTTTGCAACCTGATGTTGTAGTACTTTGACATTCTGCTGGATTACATATAGAGAGATTATTATATGAAGGTTAAAACAAGTTATACAGTACACTTTTCACATCTAAGCTTTTTTAATTGGTTTGAATACAAAAGTGTTTTGAATTCTCCTAACTATCCCCCCCCCATCCGCTCATTTATTATGGTTCAGAGTGTTATAGTGAATCATAAATTCTTTTTCTGAATAAGAATTTTTACATCCCTGACCCCCCCCCCCTCCTCCTCCTCCTCTATTGCTTCTCAACTGTACGCCCCTGAGAAGCTTATTTGTGAGTTTACTTCCTGTGCCCCCTAATATCTGTTAGATAATCAGATTAGCCACCTCTCCACTTTCATACTTTTCAACTCTCTGCTCTGATTTATATCACTTCCTGTGCGCGCTTAGTACGGAGTCTGTCTGTGCGCAGATTAGAACCATGAAATCCTGTCATAATCCGAGTTTAACAACACATATCTATTCAAACAATCCTGGCTCAGGCTAACAAAGGGCTCCCTGCAGGGACTAGATTATAAACCATCATGAACCAGGGTTTCACATAGTTTAAACAAACACTGAGGAACGGATTCCACCACAAATACTTAGATCCTTGGATACGATACTACTGAAGAACTGGGTTCGCATCCTAAATATTCCTATTTCTTATTTAATCTGATAACTATTATTACGCTTCCGGCCTTTATTTAGACATAATAGACAATAGGGCTCAGTTTTAACATATGTTTTCTCAAAATCTGTTCGAAAGTCTCTAAAGGCCCATCTTTCCTTGGTTAATTTGACTTATTCATACTGCAGTCAGAAGATTTGTGTTCTGAATTTTGGGATCAAGTTTGCTCAGCAAACTGATTTAATTTCTCTTTGATTCCCTGGTGGTAACTTTAATCAAGGGATACTCTCTCTATGAACCATTGGAATAATGACCATAAAGAATATAAAACCTGTTCTTAGTGTTCAGACTTCTCACCTACTCATCTTGCATTTCAGTGATATATATTAATCCTTGAGCTATTATTATCATGGTTCAACTTTACTATAATTCTTTAATTACGAGATAAGGTTCGGAGATAATGTCATTCTTCTCCTGGTACAATAATAACCCTGATGCAAGTCAATATTGATCCTGCTTTCTTGGTTTAGATCATACCTTAGTTAGAATCTAAGTAAGATACCGGGATGATATTTATTCTCGTCCTAACCCTCTCTCAAGGATTAGTCTCTGCTCAGGGTTGTTTTACAGTAGGGGGTAACAGTGCTGGATCTCCATGTATCCTCCCCTTTGTATATAATGGTGTGCTGAGAGAAGGTTGTATAACAGATAATGATCCTGATTTGAAACCATGGTGTTCTACTCTGACCAACCAGACAAATCATCATATAACAGGTTTGTCATAAACTTACATAATCTGAATTATTAAATCTAAAATTGTAAAAATATTTTTCTTTAAACATCAAGAAACTTATAAACTAAATATAATCTATTCCAACATAGTGAATATAATTCTAAGACATTCAGTTATTCTCAAAGTAATTATTTACACGCCAGTCGCCATAAACTCAAATTTTCCAATGCAGCCTGATGTCGTAAACTGTTGATATTTTTAATATAAATTCCGTCAGATCTAATAGTCAATTCAGTCTTTGAAACAAACTATGATTTTCATATCCCTATATCTTTGCAACCCTATATTTGACCAAGACCTTAGATATTTCGATCTAAGAATTCTTTTAGATCAAATAATCTAAGTTTGAAATATCAAATGTTTACATCATCAGGTTGCAAAAGATATAGGGATTAGAGATTAAAGCTGTGAAAAGGTTGTCAGTGAGAACTTCTTGTCAGCAGAAGAGATATAAAAATAGTTCTAGTTTCTAATAGAACAAGCTGCGGAGATAGCTTTACTTCAGATTATTTTATTTCGTTCTTAATAATAATACAAAAACAAAACTAGCCGAAAAATTCAATGCTTTATAATATTTTGTTACTTTTACTTTTGAAAAGACCAACCTAAAATTTGAAATTTAGATTATTTTTATTTTTAAATATGTAAATTTGCATTTTTTAAAACTAAGATTAGCGAGTTACTTCCCTTTAGACAGACGATTCCTTTATTAAGGAAACTGGGGACATTGTCCTCCGGATTGTATCCAGAACGGATCCTGCCAGACTTCTCTAGGTACCCCTGGAACCTGTATGCCTGCAAACCAGTGTATTGGAGTAGATCTATACTATCTTCAGGTAAATAGACTCAAACGTTTTTCTTTACTTATAGAATTATTTATAAAAATTAAAAAAAATTTAAAAAATTAAAAAAATTCTAAAGAGATTAAGAAGAGAATGATAAGGAAAAAGAGGGGGAGAGAGAGAGAAAGGAGAAAAGGATAAAAGGGTTGGGGGAAAAAAGGAAGAGAGACGTAAAGTACAACTTTGAAGAAAGATAAAAATAGAAAGAATAAATTGGGAATAGAAAGAAGAAAAAGAGAATTGGAGGGAAGAAAAGGAAGAAGGAGGGGAGAAGTAAAGAAGAAAAGATAAGTGTAGAAGGGTTAAGAAGGAGGGGAGAAGTAAAGAAGAAAAGATAAGTGTAGAAGGGACCCAC